TCATACAGCTCAATGTCAAGAAAACATACAATTCAATTTAAAAAAAAATGAGCAGAAGACCTAAATATTTTTCTAAAGACAAGATGGCCAACAAGCATGTGAAAAGATGCTCAACATCACTATTTATTAGGGAAATGCAAATCACAATAGGAATCACACTGTCAGAATGGCTGTCATTAAAAATATAAGTAACAAACACTGTAGAGGGTGTGGAGAAAAGGGAACCCTGTACTCTATTGGAATGTAACTGGTACAGCCACTGTGGAAATCAGCATGGAGTTCCCACAAAACACTAAAAATAGAACTACCAGGAGTTCAGGGAAAACCTTGAATTAAAAATGAAAACCTTTCCAGTATTCAGGGGCTTCCTGGTGGCTCAGACGGTAAAGTGTCTGCCCACAATGTGGGAGATCTGGGTTCGATCCCTGGGTCGGGAAGATCCCTGGAGAAGGAAATGGCAACCCACTCCAGTATCCTTGCCTGGAGAATCCCATGGACGGAGGAGCCTGGTAGGCTACAGTCCACAAGGTCGCAGAGAGTTGGACACAACTGAGCGACTTCACTTCTCCACTTCACCTTTCCAGTAATCTGTAGAGAATCATTACAAACCATTGTTTCAGTCTCTCAGAAAAGAGACTGTTTCCAGCGTTTTAGCTCACCAGTGCTCAGATACTGAATCTGAAAAGGACTCATCAGCCTCATCACTTCACCTATCAGAAGCTCTGCCTGTTTGTAGACATTTCTTATCCAAACTGTTAAAATTATGTTCACAATGTAATAGCCTTGAAGTCATGACTAGCCACACAGTTTAAAAGCCTCTCAGGAAGACACATCATATCCTCTTCCCAACTTGTCCCTCTGTCCACTAAGGTGCTGTGTTCTGAGAAAGCCCACCTGTCCTCAGATGATCAAACTCACCGTTACCTGTATGACCTCTCCATTTCTGATTTCAACAGCCAACAAAACCACCTTCTGAAGAGGCTGATCACACACAGCTGATGCTCGTAAAAGCCGAAGTGTCCTTGCCATTCATTTCATTGGTCCAAAGAAATGAACAGACAAAGCATCATCAGCTCCCCCCATCCTATATGCATCAGCCTTTCGCCAAAGCCAGAACACTAACCCGATCAGGACCAAGATGTGTTCTGGGAGAGGAGCCGCCCTCGAGAGGAACCAACCCCACTCTCCTAGAGAGAAGATGTGGTTTAACCAGCAACCCTCTACACAAGAAAAACACAGCTGGCCTTTTGTGGCATTCACCCATTAGGCACAGTGACAACATAACGTCTTTTAGGGAACACAGCTACTCTGATTTGATTCCGCTGTCTGTGCCGGGACTCCGGAATGCTGTCCCCCACCACCATGCATTGTCTGTTCCGTTGGCGGGCTGCGCCCCACAGAATGCTCCTACTGCAGGTAAGGCCTGACTGCCTGAGTCCCCGCCCTGCCTCCTCCGCTAACCTGCCCAACTGCGCTTGGCCCCCTACAGGAGCGGCTCCGGTCCTAGAGCAAGTTGTGAGCGCCCAGCAGCCTGCTTCCGGTCCTCACAGCCCTGCTCTGCATCTGCCGTCCTGCAGCTCTAGAGATCTCTCTCGGCAGCGAGGGGCCCTCAGAATCCAACGAGAGCATGCGGGAGCGCCCGTCAGCACCCTCCGCCCATGCCCCCACAGTTCCTAACCTCCCACTCTGGCCAGGACTCACCCTAATTCTTACAAGACCAACATCTTGAAAAGGGAAAGGTAAGGAAAGCATTCAGTGCCTCCCCATCAAACACAAAAGGTGGGCACATGCTGACCCTTTCCTGCATTTTTCAGCTTATTATGACAGATGTCTTCACATGGATCCACCCTTTAAGACCCTAGCCTTATGTGGCTTCTTACCACTTTCCTTGCTCCTTATTTACTAGAAAACTTCAACATCCATCACAACGTCTTCCCCCTGAGCAGGCTGAAATGTGTATGGTGAACAAGGAAACAAGAGACCCCAAGTCCTTTACAGATCTGTGTCTAGAAAACTTAAGACCCACCAAATTCTACTCATTATAAAGCAACTAGCTAACCAGTGGAGGAGGAAAGATATTTATTTAAGCTGTTGTTTAGCAAAATTAAACATAGAGGGAAATATGACGAGAAAAGGACACTCACTAAGTACTCATCACATGTCAGAAACGGAGACCAGTCTTTTTAAAAAAATTTTATTGGAGTATAGTTGCTTGACAATGTTGTTTTCGTTTCTGCTGTAAGCAAAGTGAATCAGCTATATGTATACATATATCCCCCCATCTGAAGGAGCTGAGCTTAACTAGACTTAGCCTGTCTCTGACAAGAAAACGTGGCCTAACTACAGTGCATCTTAAAGGTAAGAGTAATTGGTGAGCTTGGTTCCTTAATGCAAGTGTGCTGAATACACGAGTGGGTCACCTGCGTGAAACTGATTGAGATTTTCTGAAACAATTCATGCACATAATGAAAAATATGCTTGGAATCAAGGAAAAATACCATCTTCTTCAAGTCGATCCTTCTCTGTGCAGCTTCTCCTCTTCCTGAAACAGTGAGGGCGCCTTCTCCTGCCCTCCCAGGCAAGACAGAGCAGCAGGCTCTCATCATCAGCACTCCAGTTACCGTGACTGACGTCTGCGGGTCTGACCCATTCATGCTCTAGACACCATCTCTCCAAGTGCCCACAGAGGGGCATGTGCATACAGAGAGACACCTGTACTGGGAGAGTCCAGAGCAGAGTAAGTGACGGTGTAACATGCACACTCCATTCTGCATTTTAGAAAGAACTGCCTGACCACAAGAAGGAACAGAAAAGGGTAAAGAGAGGAAAGCCACATCTGAACTCCAGAGATCAGACTTGTGTGCAGATAGTTCATTTGTGAGGGCTTCCCTGGCGGCTCAGACGGTAAAAAAAAATCCACCTGCAATGCAGGAGACCAGGTTTGATCCCTGGTGGGGAAGAACCCCTGGAGACAGGAATGGCTACTTGCCTGGAGAAGCCAGTGGACAGAGGAGCCTGGCAGGCTACAGTCGGTGGGGCCACAAAGAGTCAGACACAACTGAGCATCTGTGAAGTGGTCTCGGGGCACAGGGGCAGGGCCATCGGAAAACATCAAACAGGAAAGGAGGAGACGCCAGTGTAAGGTGCAGCACTGAGCAGACGCCCACACGGCTGCTGGGGACGACCCTGCTGGACATCCTCTGAGCTGCTGGGGAGCTGCTGCCCAGGGACGCTCCTCCCTCGCTACTTGGAGTCTGCTCACGACCAGCACAGGGTGGATGGACCTCTGCAGGAATTCCAAAGGCTTCCCAGACCCAATCCCAAACTCTGTGTGAGGTCTCCCCACACCAACAAGCAGTCCTCAGGTGCCAGCTGGGCATCTGAAGAATCAGCTCAATTGCAGCGCCATCTACCCAGAGAGAGATCAGATCCTGCAGGTAAAGGGCTCAGCCCCACAAGACCTCCCTCTGCGTCTGACGCCAACACGAACCCAGGCTGTGACCTGTGCTTCCAACCAGCCAGCTACAAACCTGAGGTTCTGATGACCCACTCCAATTCAGGTTGCTGAGCACAAGCCTAGGTTGCCACCTGTACCGGACCAACTGGCTACAAATCAGAGGTTCCCACAGCCCCCTTATTGGGCTCCATTAATTTGGTACAATGGCTCACAGAACTCAGGAACACCCATTCACTCACTAGATGACCAATTTATTACAAAAGAATGTGAAAAGATACAAACCAACGGCCAGATTAAAAGATACACAGGGCGTGGCCCCAAACAAAGGAATTTTTGTCCCCACGAAGTGTCCTGGTTCCCCATGCAGAAGCTCTCTGTCCTTTCTGTTTTTACAGAGGCTTCGTTACACAGTCATAAATGACCATACAATCGGCCAGCCATGACTGCCTGAATCTCCAGGCCCTTTCCCCTCCCTGGAGGCTGGGGGTGGGACTGGGAGGCACAACCCTCTAATACCATGCTTGTTCTTTGGACCACCAGTGCCATCCTTGAGCTGGGGCGTGAGTGTGCATCCAAAATCCAGCTCATAAGCCTGGCAAGGGGCTTCCCAGGTGGTGCTAATGATAAAGAACCTGCCTGCCAATGCAGGAGACATAAGAGACGTTCAATCCCTCCCTGGGTTGGAAAGATCCTCTGAAGGAGGACAAGGCAACCCACTCCAGTATTCTTGCCTGAAGAATTCCATGGACAGAGGACCCTGGTGGGCTACAGTCCATAGGGTTGCACAGAGTTGGACACGACTGAAGTGATTTAGAACGCACACATGCATGCAAGCCTAACAAGAGACACCTTTGTTGTTCTCATCACTTAGAAAATTCCAAGACTTTTAGGAGCTCTGTGCCTAAAATGGAAGAATGTTCCTTCACTGCTGTCTAAATTCACTCCTACATGGTGCTAGAGACTTGTAGCAGAACATTTTTAACTACTACCAACATATTAAGCCAAGCTATCTATGAACTAATGCTTAGGGGTTTTTTGTCAGTTGATCAGGAAACCCTGCATGAGTCCAAAGGTAAGAGCTACAGAAGAGGCAGTAATGCAACAAAGGGAGGTGACAAGGTGTCTGGGCCACCTGTCACACATCTTCCTGTGCCCCAAGAACCTGCCTGCACTTGTCCCCGAATGTACCATTTGCACTGAACATGTGCCACCATTACGTTGCCCAACAGTATGGTGCAGTGCTTGGAAGTCACCTGGACAGGGATGGACCACTCCGCTTGCATGCTCATGTGACGGCCCATGTCAGGTGACCAGTCTCCTGGGGCTCAGCAGGATGTCAAGGGCCGCTTTTTAAACATCAAACTGCAGAGGACATAGCATCGCTCCAGAGCCCTAGCAGACCGCAGGGTGACTCAGGACACAGTATATCCATCTGTAACAAGAGCTCCAGCACTGCCAGTTCTGCTGGGTGAGACAATTTGGATGGATGGACAGCTTTCACCCCAACCCAGACTTCCCACAGAGCCCCCTCTTGCTCTGAGCCATGCTCAAAATTGGCGGCTTTCTGAGTTACTCAGTAAAAAGGTAAGAGTATGATTCTCAACTGCAGCATATGCCACCCTCAGAATTCAGACAGGCCCACCACGAACCTCTTTCTTAATAGTGGGAAGTGTAAGGTCCAATAATTTGCCTTTTGGAGGCAATGTCCAGGCATGCCAAAGACCATGAGGCACTTTAAAATGTGGATCCGAATACTCCTAGGGTTCATCTCATAGGCTGTGGCACATAGGCCCTTTCTACGCTATCCACAGTACTTTTTACCTCTTGCTCACCACATCCACTTGGCCAGATGTTTTGACATAGCTAAGTTACATGAATCCATACACTTTTAAGATGGTTGAGTTTCCCGAGAACTATATTATGATGAAATCTTGGAACAAGACAGTGACAATCAATGTATTGCTGTCTACCACACGTAAAAGCACACTACTTTAGACCATTTTAATGAGAACTGAGAAAAATCTGTTTAGACAATGACCTGCTCATATACCGAGTACCAGAGTCTGTACTGATTCATCACAGTCAGGACTCTACACTCATCACAGTAGTTGTGACTGGACTGCTAATGGGTTATGTGTACAGTCAGCCACTGTCATCTGCCATTCTCCATTTGGTTCTGACAAAGGTCAACAAGTAAACTGAATGGGGTCATATGAAGGATCGTCTAAGGCATTGTACACAATGTGCTTTAGAACAGCCCACTCCAATCAGGAAGAGGCAGCATTTGCCCCCAGCATCCCCCTAGGTTGGTCAGGGGTCACAAAGAGGATGTCATCTGCCCCTGCTCCTAGGTGTGCACGCTCATCAGAGTGGATGTCTGTGCTCTCAGAGGGAGACGCCCTGAGGGGTAGGGAAGACCTGGGCTAGGTACACAGACAGCCCAGGTGAGAGAGACGCCTGCAACAGGACCACAGCAGTAATGAGGATAAAGGTGCAGAGGGAAACTACAAATGTTGTAACCACCAGGTCAGCTGGCAGAGTATCGCAATACCTGCCTGTACTGCATGACTGTGTAGAGGTCTATCTAAGGTGATGGCGGCAGATCTGAGGGAAACAAGATAGCCTCTGCAGACAGTTATGGGGACGCTATCAGAATGCAAAGTAACAGTGACTAATTGAACATTTCCTATATACTTGCCCTCAGACTTCAAGATGCTCTGTGAGAATATAATTCCTTGAAAAACTCAACGCTGAGAAATGCTGGTTTATACATAAGCAGCCTTCCTTCCTATGAGATCTCCTTCCTAAAATGCACGGCCGTGTATTTGGCTGTCATCTGTGCTACTGATCCCCGGGTATCAGAGAGGAAAGTCTGTGCACGGTGTTTGGATCTAAACCAATTTCATGTGGACAGTTCTGATATTTTTCTTTTTGCCTCGTTACATAAGAATGTTAGTTAAAATAGAACTGAAATCAATGAGTCAACAGGACTTGAAATACAAAAGGAAATCCAACTTCCAGCAGGCTGAAGTAGATGAAAGCGAGCACCATGGAGGACTCCCAGCTCACAGGAGCATCGCTGAGCCAGGGAGTGCTCGGGTCTCAGACTCTTTAATATCCTCACTCTCTCTTTAAAAATACCCATCTGCCTCACCTCATTTTCCAAGAATAATTTTGGTGAGCAGGAAATCCATGCCTCAGATTTCTTTCATAGGCCCCAAAAGGATTCCCAAACACACTTGAGCTGCATAATAGCTGTATGAATTAATGATGGATGAGGACCATCCTTTGTGCTACAGAAAGAGTAAAACAAAACCTCAAAGTGTCAAAAATGGGTCACAAACAACACTGGAAAAAGGAACTTGGCTGTGAAAATTAGAAGTTTCCTGTGTCTCGCAGCAGAGACTTGAGCCAGCGGAGGCACCAGTTTGTTTTAATGATGTTCTGGGAAAGCTCACTTTAATCCCTAGGCAACTGGGAACCTATTTCTTCTAAAAGTGTTGGAAACCATCTTTCTGAATAATCTTGAAGTGTTCTTACCAATTTCCTTCAAATCCAACAAATTTAAATCACTAGAGACAGTGACACAGAGAAACTAAAATCCTAGACAATTCTGAGAAACTATAGAAATCGTAAGGAATCAGAATCTTGTCTTTTCCCCCAACTGCTGGTGATTTACAATAGTTTGATCAAGCTTTCTACATTAAAGCCAGAAAACATCATTTTAACTTCTGAAGAAATACTGCTATAGCACAATAATAATAGCATTTTCATTAAATTGCAGGTATGACTTGACCTTCCCCCCAAAACTGAGATGACCAAGGGAAGGCTATAGGCTAGAACATGGGGTCTATTTCATGTCAAGGGTCAATTATTTTTCATTAGGAAAGAGCATAAGGAAAGCAAAAACTTGTCCAATGTACATGTTTTTCTTCCACTAGCTTCCCTAATGAATTACCAGTACTGATTAGGTAAAATTGATTGTATTGATTACCCATAAAATTGATTACTATTATATTTATGATAATCCAAATACACATTTAATAGCTTATTAATCTCCCCTGAAATATTCATCCTGGAGATAAAAATTCTGTTATATAATATCTACAATCAAGACAAAAGACACCTGCCTTTTCAAAATTTCAAAAGGCCGAAAGAATGCCTTCAAATTTAAGACAAAAGGACACTGTGATATAGATATCACCTCCTAAGTGATAGGCCAATCCTGCACAAGCCAGGTAGTCCCAGGGACCGTGCCTGTAGCTAGGCTAGGCATACTTTGTACACCGGCCAATCGTCCAGGTTTTCCTTAGACTATTCCATCTTAGGACCCTAGCATGTAATTTACTCAAGAATGCCTTTGGTAAAATGAAAACAGGACTTCCTGGTTCAACTAAACAGTACTTTATTATATGAAGCTAAATGGCCTTAAGAAAATATACTATTGTAGGAAGGAAAAGATAAAAGCGAAAGTCTTCCTGTTCACTTAAGAGTTTCAGCTGAGGTCCCACAAACTTGTGAAAACGAAGCAAGTTCCTATGGAATAAGGAGGGCTACCAACCCCATAGCTATAAGGTGGACAAAAACTAACAAACCCATGGTGGCATTCGGGAACCCCCAAGGAGCGTTTCAGGAAGAGCCTATATTGAGGCAGTTCATTTAAGAGTTCATACAAAACAGCAGGAGGGAAGGAGCAGGGGAATGGAGACAGGGAAGGTGGAAAACCCACTGAGGGCACAGTACTGCGATCGTTGGCTTGGGCATCTGGGCTTCAGTCTGCCCAGGCTCTCTGGGGAACACAGAAAGCCATCTGGGATGGCCCCCACAGCAGCCGGGCTGGGGCACTTACTACTGGCCTGCCCTTGGTGAAGGGCTAACTGATGTGTAAACTGCGATGCATGTGGGGGCTGAACCTGCAAGCAGGCCCAGGGGGTGCGAGCTGCTTTAGAGGAGATTCTGAGGCAGACCTGGAGAGATTCGTGGTGGGCCCTAGGGGTGGGATGATCCCCGTGTGCTTGGAACTGTCCAGCACATCTCTGACTGAAATAAAATGTGGGCCAGCAGGATGAGACGCAGGACGCCAAGCCTCTGCTGCACTGATCCACCCCAAGCCTGTCCTTACACCTCATGCCCATCCTTCTGCTGAAGACACATTAGAAATGGAGCAAAGGGAGCAAGTTCTTAAAGCAGGGCCTCACAGCACCGTGGCCTTTCCCTCATTCTTCCCACAGCGTATAGGGCTGATTTTCACACCAAGTCGAATGAGGAAGTTAATAAAGAACTCTGCCCAGTGCCTAGGGGACAGCTGCAGAGTTAGGGGGAGAGGGCCAGGAGGGAGGCGAGGCCTTAAATCTCATTGCCATCAGGCATCCTTCTCCTCACCTAAGAGAAGTGCCCGGGCTTACGTCTGTTTCCAACATAAAAGAGAATGTTTCTGAATTTTAATACGCATGCCTGTGTGCTAAGTCGCTTCAGTAGTGTCCTACTCATTGTGACCCCATGGACTATGGAAGAGGAAAAGTTAACATTTTACACAACCTCCTGCTCCTTCTGCCTCTGTAACTCAGCTTGCTCCTTGCAAAGTCTGGATCACGTAGGTCACATAGCCAGAAAGTGGGGGCTTACAATACTAGGAACTGGAGCTTATCTCACTCACCCTTGTCCTGCTCTTTGCAACTCCCCAGCCCCTACAAACATGCTTAATCATGTCTGTCCGTGTAAAGGTCAGGCATCCCCCTCCCCATCTTGACTGCTCTTCCCGCAAACGTAAAACCCCTTAGTTTAAACCAGCCTATTAGCAGCTAGTGTTGCCCATCACAGTCTGTCTATAAAATCTCTGTAACCCCTGTGTTCGGGGCTCAGAGCTTGGAGTGTTAACTCCTCTGGGCCTGCCAGCGTGATAAATCTGAGTTCTCCAGCTCTCCGAGTGCGGCGCTTGGTTTCTTGAGTACTGGTTTCTGCAACACTATAGCTTGACAGGCTCCTCTGTCCATGGGATTCTCCAGGCAAGAATACTGCAGTGGGTTGCCATGCCCTCCTCCAGGGGATCTTCAGAACCCAGGGATCAAACCCAAGTCTATTATGCCTCAGCATCTCCCATGTCTCATGCATTTCAGGCAGGTTCATTACTGCTGAGCCACTAGGGAAGCCCAAATCTTTTTTTTTTTTCATTTATTTTTATTAGTTGGAGGCTAATTACTTTACAATATTGTAGTGGTTTTTGTCATACATTGACACAAATTAGCCATGGAGGGAAGCCCAAATCTTAATATACACCCCCTTTAAACTGATTTTCTCTTCAACTGGAGTCAGTGCGCTAGCTGGAGTAGTCCAGGGTGCAGAGCAAGGAGAGGAGAATACAGTCATGAGATCAAAGTGCCTTCTACAATTAATGCAGCAAGGTTACCTATGTTCCCATTGGCCTGGGAGATGCACTGAAGGATGGACCAGGATGCTCTTGGGAGGATATTCCCCAGACAGTGGCCTGCAGGAAGAGGAGCCTGAGGGCTGTGTCACACGAACCACGGGGTTTGGTGGGGTGGGGGGTGGTGGAAGCAGTCTGCCATGGGGTGTGTTTTCAAGGCTGATGGGAGAGGTCCGTCAAGGCTGATGGGAGAGGTCAGCCCTGTCGCTAGCTGTCTCCACAAATGCCTGCTCTCTCTTGATGGACACACAGCTGCCAAGCTGCAGACTGCATTTCCTGGCCTCTCCCACTCAAAGAAACTGCATGACTAAGTTATCATCAATGTAATGTTAGCAAGACTTCTGCCTCACTTGACCAAAGTAAATATCTGCCCTGGATCCACCTCTTTCCCCTCTTCTCTATCTGAAAACAGACATGCACAAGGCAAATTTTTGATCCTGCAGACCAGGTAACACCCAAGGTGATGGTGAAACAGAAAGATGGAAGGAAATCAGGTGACTGAGTCACCTTATGAGGCAGAGCTAGACTGCTAACTGAGACAGTAGTAAATCTGCTTTATTTAAGCCAGGATTTCCTAGCATTTTTTTTCACTATTGCTCCCTTAAGGAGAAAAAAATAAATATAATTTGAGTAATTAAATGTTTAATTTAACTTCTTCCTAACAAGAGAGATGAAATGCTAAGAAATATGATTTTATTGAGCTTTGGAAGGCCACAAATCATTTCAATAGCTAAGGATATTTTTCATCCCTCTTTCCTCCCAGATCAATTTTTACCACTACGGAGAACGCATGATTTCAGCTATTAAATGCCTGGTCTCTTTGTTCGAGCGGCTTACCGTAGCCCTCACACACGCAGTGAGGGAACTAAGCAAGACAGAGCCCCTTCTGGGTCCTCCCACAAGCTCACTGTTTCTAGCCAAGGACAGAAGTGTTGCCACAATAAAGGTCATTAAAGAACTGAGAGTGAAAAAATAAACACAGATAAAACAGAAGGGAAGTAAAATGGGCATTGCGGACTGAATGTTTTTGTCCCCTCAAAATCCATATGTTGAAGCCTAAGTATTACTGTATGGGAGATGGGACTTGTAGGGTAGTGATAAAGGTCAAATGAGGTCTAGCAGAGCTGGACGGCACAGGCGTGGGCTGTCTCCACCACGCGGGACACAGCAGGAAGGCAGTCTGCAGAGGGGGAGACGGCCGGCCCGCAGGGGACTGCAGCGGGCCAGTACCTGGTGCAGGCCTCCAGCCTCCAGAGAACATGTCTCCTCGGTGCGGCCAAGAGTCTAACACCCTGGGCACGGCCGCATCTCCACCTGTCTCTCCTTTTCCTGACCCACCTGGAGGAGCCAGAGCAATGGCACAGGAGCGAGGAATGTGAGGAGCAAGGAATGTGAACCGGAGTTTATCAAAACAAAGGCCCAGGCTCCCCTCAGGGGAAAGAGCCCTGGGGAAACTTTCAGGTGGATAAGGAAACAGTGTTTCAATTTAGACTGAACTGGACATTTCAAAACTTAAAAAGGAATTAAAAGCTAAGGGTCTCATTCACGGTGTCACCCAGAGGCTTAGCCACTGTCAACGTTGTCGCTGTTCGCTCTTTGTGACCCCATGGACTGGCACAGAAATAAAGCCATTTCTTAATTGTGCTCTAGAGCTTTCCTAGTGGCTCAGTGGTAAAGAATCCACCTGCCAATGCAGGAGACACAGGTTCAATCCCTGAGTTGGGAAGATTCCCTAGAGGAGGAAATGGCAACCCAGTATTCTTGCCTGGAGAATCCCATGGACAGAGGAGCCTGGCGGGCTACAGTCCATGGGGTTGTGACTTAGCAACTAAGCATGCACACAATTGTGCCTACAGAGTTCAGTGCATAGAGTAAACCTCGTTGTCAAATATCCAATAAGGAAAGTAGATACTGCAAACACAGGACAAACAAAATACCTTCTAAACACTGGTCTTCAGCAGTTACCCAGCCTAGGGAATCCAATTCTGGCCGCCTGTATCTTACTTAAGTGCAAATTTTACTTCCCTTCCCTGACACTGATTAGGATTCTAAAGTATGTTCACAAAGCCAAATGATTTAATAGATCAATGATCACTTTGTAACTTATTCTAAAAAGATTAGAACCTTTGTCACAGGGGTTGTCCATTCTCCTAGCCAGAGTGTTTGTCATTCAATAATTAACTAATGAGATATTCTATGAATAATAAAGAAAGCTTAGCATCTATTCTTCTTTAAGTCTGAACACCTCAAAGTGATAGAATTATAGGTGGCATCCTTTTGAATAGTAACAATATTTTTCAGTGACAGAGTTTTTTGCTTGCTTTTTATACAGCACTTTTATTTTGATAAAGCTTCCACAAGCTGTTGTGAAAGTTTTCCAGATTGCAGAGACAGAGCCCATTGCTTTATAAAATGTAGTTTTAAAGCACTTTGTTGTAAGGCACTTAGTGACTTTATCAGCACCCTTAGTCACAGAACTGGGCGTGTTTTCCCACACTTAACATTTCCCACTAAAATTTAGTGGCAATATCTTCCTGTGGAGAGGAGAGCGTCAGCAGTCAGGAATCAGTAGAACAAAACACTGAAGCAAGTTCTCAGCTTCTTCTTCCTCGGGCCTTGCCCAGGTCTTAATGACCCTCAAGGCCTAAAAGCAAGGCGGCTCCAGTTTTAAATGCCAGCCGTGGGAGAGCAAGGAAAGATGACCGTTTTCTTAATAAAGGTCTCAGAAAAGTCAAACATCCAAACCCAGAAACGTCACCTATGAAAGCACTTGGATTTCAAAAGCCCCCAAAGAGAGCTAACAAGAGAAAGATAAAGGGAAGACCCGCCCACTTCCATCCCCTGGGCTTCCATCCCCTCGGTCCCAGCCCCACCCTGAGCACTGCTCTCCCCAGGATGGACCGCAGCCCCTCCACGTCCCTCCTCTCCCTGCCGGAGGAGACGGCCTCCCCTCTCACCCGGCTGCCCCGGGCCCCCTCCTCCAGCACACGGGGCAGGGGCGGGACCAGCCCGCGGCCTCAGGAAGGCAGCGGTCACGAGCTCCTCAGGACCTGACTGCGCGTACTCCACCCGCTGTTCCATCCCCCAGCCCAGCAGGTACGAGTTACACTTCTGTTTCATTTTAGTGGCGCTTGAATTGAGTCACCGGATGAAGATGTGGAAAAGAACACTGATATTCTCCCAGTGACAGAGCACTCTCACAATCCGGTCCTAGATGTTCATCGCCAGACCTCCGGAGAAGGGTTAAGTCTCAAACCTTTCCTTCTGTCCTCCACCCCCTGCCTGGCTGGCTGCCCCACGCCCCCTCTTCAGCCGTCTGATGGACAGCAGGGGCCGCGGAACGGGGAGGAAGCCGCGCAGGCCCAAGCTGATGACAGCCGCTTTCTCAAGAGTCTCTCTGCACAGCTAGATGCCACCGCTCTGTTGGGTCACTGGACAGACCTGCCATGTCCAGACTAACAGCTTTCCAAGGCGCTCTCATTTAGATGAATGAAGTCATTTATAAGCGACATGAAAAAGCAAGAAAGATGAGATAAAGCGTGCTGTCTCAGCCCTTTCTGTGAGGTCTGGTCTGCACCAACAGTCAACCTCGTCCAGGGCTCCTGCCCTTATTCAGGTGAGTTGTTACCCTGCCCTGGAAAGTAGGAGAAGTTTCTGTGGCCCGTAGCCATTCATTACCAGGAAGAGAAATCACCTTCTCATGTGAGGCTCTTTTTTTTTTTCATCATGGTCCATTGGCCATGACTGCTGCTGCTTTAAGTAAAGCAGTTAAAACTGCTTAACCCCAGACAGCCTCACACACAGAAGGTGTCAGCCGTGGATCAGACAAAATCCAGAGGACGCACAGCCAAGGCAGGTGAGCAGAGGCATTCTGCCACTTCCCACCCCCACCTTCCTAGTACCTAAAGGTGCAAGACTGCACTCCAGGGTACAGGGGATTATAGCCCTCGTTACAAAAATGGCCCAAGAGGTAATATCAGAGTTCTCATATACCAAGAGCAGTGCAGAATACCACTGACACGAATCCAGCTTTTAGATTAAGGCCAGTCCAAAGGACAAATATATCATAAACAATACATATCTGCTTTGGGCTCCCTGGCTATCTATTTTACATATAGTAATGTATATGTTTCAATGCTACTCTTTCAAATCTTCCCACCCTCTCAGGATAGGATAGGGAAGGAGGTGGGAGTGAGGTTCAGGAGGATGGGGACACATATATGCTTATGGCCGATTCATACTGGTGTACGGCAAAGACCATCACAGTGTTGGAAAGTAATTATCCTCCAATTAACATTTTAAAATAAATAATAAGCAATTATAAAAATAAATACCTCATCTTATATTTCACTTACCAGATCTCTCATTAAAACATTTCTTTAAATATCTAACAGTATCACTTTATTCTTCACTTCGTTTTTCAGTCCTGTTCCAATTATTCTTAGGATAATTATAGAATAAGATTTACTATTTCTCTCAGCAACTATATTCTTTTAACCATCAAGCTTTTAACGCGAAGCATTCTGTGACTTTTATCTTAAGATAATAGCTTATAACAAAGTCACCATTTCTCTCAGCATACTTGAACTCCATGTGAAGATGGGACCAATAAAAAGAGGAGCGCTTCTGCAGTTTATAACAGTTTACAATTCGGATATTGTTTATGAGCCGGCCCCAGGCATCCGCCTTTAGTCCTGTTGTAAAGACTGCGATAACTGGCGCGTGAAAGGAAAAAAACTAAAAGGGAGATTTTCTTTAAAATTAGCTCAAGATGCATGAAGTAAACAATTTAAAAAGCCCATAAATAGACAGCTAGCTAATAGTTATTACATTCAATAATGTAGCATGATATGCATGACGGTTTTGACCTCCAAAATAATTTAGCGACTTGAGCTGAGATTAAAGGCAGAACATTAATTTTTCCCTCTGGTTGTCAAGTCAACCCAGAGACCCGTCAAATCCATTTAAATAAAGCCTGCATCATGTAATAATATTAAAGGGAATAAAATATTAATATGGGTCTGTGCTAGAACACTGACCAAAGAGCAGCAGTGAGGTGCCTTTAATTTATTACCCCGACAATCTGCCTTTGTACTGAAGCTAGGAGTTAAAGTGACATTTAAGAATTATTCTTCATGCTAGAAGATGGGCCCATTTCAGAAAGGTCATGGGTCATTCAAATGCTGAGAAGTTTTAGTGTCACCAAGAAAAGAAACTCATGAGCTCCATTCTAATTGTGTTAATTTGAAGAGACAATGCAAATGCCAAGACTCAGTTGCAATAAAAATAAAATTTTCAAGAAGAAAGGGAGACTTAATGCATTAAATGAGGCTTGATGAGAGAGTTTTTCCCCATCAGAAGTTTATCTAAATTAGTGTATTATTTACATACACCAAACTTAATCAGCACTTTTATCAAACACGCTCTGGTTTTAATCTCTGAAAACAATGATTTTCTGGTTTGTTTTCCAGTGAGTCTGCTCTCTGATAAGTGGAGATTTTCAGTACATACCCTTAAATACTATATTCCTATTCTGAAGACAGTGTTCTTTTAAGAATCATATTTATTCCATTTAGAGATTTTGGAGAGAGGAGGGTGGTGGTTATAGAGATAAACAGGGTGAGAAACCTATTTGCAAGGCAAGCTTTATTGTGCTCAACTAGTTGTTTACAGATGTGAATATTCAATAGTCATGTCTCATTTTACTAAATGAGAAATTTGTATAGTTTTCTATGCTTTGTTTAAAATTTACTTTAAACACACCAAACACACTCTTTCCTGCTAATTCCACTATTTCTCCACTTGTCACAAGCAAGTTGGAAATCAGAGGTTGTGATCTGGCCTCCCACCATCTATTCCACAGCTTTCATTGTGACCCTCCCTTTCAGCACAGCTTCCACTTACTTCAAAGAATCCTCTCTGTGAGGCAACCAGGCCTAAAACATAGGGAGAAACAGAAATCTAGCCACAGGAAAAGAACCCTTTAAGATGCTAATCAAAGCACTGAATTCTCCAAACAAAGCAACTGCTCTGGAACAACCAGCTCAGAAGGGAAATTGCAAACCTTGGAAGTGAAGTGGTACCACTTCCCTTCATGTGGAAAGCGCAGGACAGCACAGCTGTGGCACACAGCCTCCTGGCAGGGATGGGAACACACTGAGGCCCACAGACCCCAGGCTGACCTCAGTCGCTGGATACGAGCTACGTGGACGGACCTGGAGATGATCATACTGAGTGAAATAAGCCAGACAGATCCAAACAAATATCATATGGTAGCACTTATATAGGGAATCCAAAAATGATACAAATGAACCTATTTACAAAACAGAAATAGACCCACAGACAAAGAAAACAAACTATGGTCACCAAAGGGGAAAGGAAGGGATAAATTAGGAATTTGGGATTAGCAGACAGAAACTACTATATATATAAAATAAACAACAAGGACATACAGTATAACACAGAGTTTAGTTGCTAAGTCATATCTGACTCTTTTGTGACCCCAGGGACTGTAGCCCACCAGGCTCCTCTGTCCATGGGATTCTCCAGGCAAGAATATGGAGTGGGTTGCCATCTCCTTCTCCAGGGCATCTTCCCAACTCAGGGATCAAACCCCTGTCTTGGGCATCTCCTGCATTGGCAGGTAGATTCTTTATCATTGAGTTACCAGGGAAGCCCACAGCACAGAGAACTATATTCAATATCTTCTAATAAACTGTAATGGAAAAGAATATGAAAAAGAATTTTACATGTATATATAACTGAATCACTTTTCTGTACAGCTGAAATCAACAACATTGTATATCAACTATACATAATAAATCAGCTATATATAAAATTGAAAATTTTTAAAAACTTAACTGTTTAAAAACAGACCTAGGTAGGAGGAATGCTGTTATGGTCACTGGCTACGGTGACAAGGGAGTCACCTCAAAAATAAATAAATAAATAAAAACACTGGACACCAGCCCAAGGTCTCAACATGGTTATCATCTTTCAGGCCAGATCAGCCAACTTCCTCATCCAGAAGTTGCCTACTTCTATTTGTATTTTAATTGCTGCACAATGCATTCCCTGAACTAAGTAAAGCTACATCTATAATATTGCAGTGGGTTTGCTAATTAAACACAGTGTGAAGGAAACCCAGTTTTTGCTTCACGTCCTCCTTTGCTATGGAGCTGGGACTCAGGGGGTGTCATTATCGCCCTCAGGATCCCTCATATGCTACATTGGGACTCAGGGGTGTCATTATCGCCCTCAGGATCCCTCATATGCTACATTGGGACTCAGGGGTGACATTATCGCTCTCAGGATCCCTCATATGCTACATTGGGACTCAGGGGTGTCATTATCGCCCTCAGCATCCCTCATTCGCTACATTGGGACTCAGGGGGGTGTCATTATCGCCCTCAGGATCGCTCATATGCTACATTGGGACTCAGGGGGTGTCATTATCGCCCTCAGCATCCCTCATTCGCTACATTGGGACTAAGGGGGGTGTCATTATTGCCCTCAGGATCCATCATATGCTACATTGGGACTCAGGGGTGTCATTATCGCCCTCAGGATCCCTCATTCGCTACATTCAGACTCAGGGGGGTGACATTATTGCCCTCAGGGTCCCTCATATGCTACAGTGGGACTCAGGGGGTGTCATTATCGCCCTCAGGATCCCTCATGTGCTACACTGGGACTCAGGGGGTGTCATTATCGCCCTCAGGGTCCCTCATATGCTACATTGGGACTCAAGATCCCTCATATGCTACACTGGGACTGAGGGGTGTCATTATCGCCCTCAGGGTCCCTCATATGCTACACTGGGACTGAGGGGTGTCATTATCACCCTCAGGGTCCCTCATATGCTACACTGGGACTCAGGGGTATCATTATCGCCCTCAGGGTCCCTCATATGCTACACTGGGACTCGGGGGTGTCATTATCGCCCTCAGGGTCCCTCATATGCTACACTGGGACGGAGGGGTGTCATTATCGCCCTCAGGGTCCCTCATTCGCTACACTGGGACTGAGGGGTGTCATTATCGCCCTCAGGGTCC